TTTACCGCTCGTTGATGTTCGCGTAAGCGTGTGGAGGCTGATCTTCCTGTCTCTCCGCAATATACTGTGTTGCAGCCGCCACAAGGGATCTTGTAGATGACTTCTTTTCTGTCCAAGTAGTCAACCCTATCCTTGGGGTGTGCGAGTTGATTTCGTAGAGTATTCGTCGGTTTGTGCGCCAGCTGGATTTGATGCTTCCTCAGGTGTCTTTCATCGAGTTCAGACACGTTCTTAATATATGGAAGCGTTCGCCATCGGACAATCTAGTTCCTTTTGATTTTGCTTTGACTGTTGTCGTCTCATGCATTGACGCACAAACTGTGATTGGTTGAGCATATAGCTAGAATCCGTTCTTATTTCTATTCGTTAATGGCCAATCATCACTCTTCTTATAAGCTCACTGTTAACGTACGCCGCAAATTCGCAAAAATGGCGCATTTTTTACAGGCTAGCTTGTCGTTGTTGTCATGCCTATAGCTGGACAAGCGTCCTAGATATTTGCGCAATCCTGCTAGAAATCTTCGGCAGCCTGACCAATCTCACTGTCCCTATCTTGCTCTTCTGCCTTCGCTCTAAGAAGTCCGAGGGCTTGATTCTGCTTCGAGTCCTCTCCTGTGGCTGTTTAGCTTTCACCCTGATTAAATTTCTGGAACAAGTTGGTTTGCGTAACCGTAACACTGGCAACCGCTACATGGACGGTCTGATCTGCATTCTCTGGAGCACTCGTTTCCCTTCTGGTTCGCTAACTTTCAAAGCTGCCACCGTCTGTTTTACTTTGGTTGCAACAGGGCCTTCGAGATGCTCAAAATTACGAATTATCCCATTACCAGGGAGAAACAGCGGCTCACCGCCTACCTGCTTCTGGTCTTCTTTGGCAGTTTCGTTGAGACATTGCCTGAATTGCTGTTAGCAAATCCTCACACAGAGGATTGCGCCTGTGCTGCGCTGCCCAAGAACTTTGCCGTCCTAACAGTGTTGTATGCGCATTCTTTTCTCTGGGTCGGCATCCTCGGACTCACTTATCCCGCCATTCTCGTCCACATCTGCATTGCTTTGGTTCTACGACTGGGAAGAACAGAGCGTGGTGGTTTTGCTGATGATATTGACGAACTCTATTTTCTGAAACCAGCATGCACGACTATCACCACCACATCTGCACCTCCAGTGGCCACCTCGACAAACCCTAAACGAAGTGGTGCTGGAATCCTTGCAAAATCGGATAATAGGTCTGCTTCGCATGTCTGCTCAGCCTCCTTTTGCACCCTACCGCTGACTGCTGCCTACATAGTAGGCACGGCATTTGATTCGGTTCAGAAACTGTTGAGTGCTGCTGGTGTTATCATCTACAAGCTGTGCAGTTCAGCTCACCAGTTCAGTGTAATATTGATGAACCTGTTTAGCACGCCGATGCCATTAATCCTCCTTTTCCACATTCCAGCGATGCGGTCACTATTCTTCGTTGCAATTGCGTTCATACAAAAAATGATCTGCAAGATCAAAGCGATGAAGACTGGTGACCTCCCTCAATCAGACTCAAGTTCGCCATTGGAGGACGTTCCAAACGATTTGAGTAGCTAACTATTAATTGATTGATTTTATGCAAGAAGCGATAGGACACGCGAAGATACCGAAAAGACCTTAGTATTATCGTCTGTCACTTTTTTTCAACTCATACACAAACTTTTAGGTGACCTGACCCGTAACGCATTCGTTTTTTTGTTGTGCAGGACAGTTGCTTTCGTCTGGTCAACATCCCCATTTATCTGTTTATTTAAATCAATACAGTAACATAAATTGCTACGATTTCAATGTCTCTATTTGGCATTGTATTTTGAACGGCTTTGTATTCTTCGCTGAAATATAAGAGCTCATTGAACACTTCTTTTAGCACGACCTACGATCGAACCATTTTAGACTCACCCTCGTTGTGGCTATGGTGTGATTTTTCATGAAAAGACAAGTTTCTCACAGGACATTACCTGTCATCCTCAGTGAAATATTTCGCAGAGTCGATTGAAATACTGGTTACGACAGTTCATATAACATTGGGCTGGCATTCTTATTTTTATCAAATTTAGCACTACTTCTTAACAGGAGAGTAGATAATATATTTTTGCCTATTAATTTTCTCGCCTCTCACTACACTGCTGACGAAAGCCAACAGGCGACTTCCAGGAAGTAGTTCAGAAGCATAAAATGTGACTTTTGGAAAAATAAGTTTACTTGCCTAACGTTTGGGATTTTGGCCTGAACCTACCATCAGAGCTAACCGCGGAAAGGAATATTTATTTCTGATGGCGGATCCCAACCAAAAGCCAAAACGTCAAGTCAAGTCAAGTCTATTAAGGGAAGTATAGGCAAACGCCTTTGAACTCCCTATACAGTGAAAAGTCCTAGCGAACCCATCTTCCACTTCTGGATTTTACATACTGGAAAGAGGATTTTGAAAACATATGAGGTAGGATTGCTCTAACTGTTAATGATTGACAAAGGAGGAAATTGGGTTGTTTTTCATGTTTCGTCAGGAGGTGAGAATCCGGTAAGTGTTATTAATTCATGTAAACATTGGTCCCTGCTTAGCGATCTTTTCAGCTCAACATAAAGATCGATTATGTGAGCAATTTTAATAATAATATGCAGTATTCGTACTCAATGGAAGCATCAAAATAACCAGTACATTCGAAAGAACATGTACGTTTGTTTCAACTTCACAGACTGGGAAATAGTTAATCCATAACTAACGTACTTTGAGATGGTGAAAATGTATAATGACCATGAAAGCCGTTTTTATCAAAGCAGTTTACCAACGAAACACCTTTCACGTTTAAGGCTTGCATCTGCACCATGGAAATACTTTGGTTATAACTAAGCAATGTCGATGTGCTTGTAATTAATTCACAAGTCGAAAACTAATTTGCTTGAAAAACGATCAAAATAAGTGTTAATTTTTACATGTTTGTCAATATACTTTATAGTTTTATATACCTTAAGGCTTTAAACAATGGCGCAAATTGCGTTCCGGACTGAGCACTGCTTCGAAAGGATCGCACATTTCTGCCATTCTTTACAACACATTCTTGATTTAAGTTAAGACTCCTATTCGAAACATATCCATAAGAATAGCTTCTTGTGTCATTGGAGATTCACTTATTTTGCGCAAGCAACAATTATTTGTAAACTGATAATATGAAGACTAATCTTCTTATTTCTCGCCAGGGTGGCAGAACTCCTTTAACTTAAACGCGGCGGAGTATTAAGTGCAAAAGATTTAAATGCTCTTTGTGCACGGTTAAGTAGCATTAGGTTTGCCTTCTTCTGCTCATTCTAATTTAGGATCAATCGTTAGCAGAATGGCAACTTATTCGCCTTTATCTGCTAATGTTCATAACATTTTACAAAATGGCACGAAGCGGATATTAAAACCTGCAAATAGGTATCGCTCGGCATGGTTTAGCATTTGGTCGCTTCGGAAGTCTTGGTGATAATGGAAATTTCGTTGGGGGATAGGAGATGAGTTAAGGCAAATTATTCCTGGAACGATTAGATTTTGGGCGACAGTAGCTTATGTAGCCCCACTCATTAATCCCTAGAAACTTCATTTTTTCCTAGGAAAACGGTGTTTATAGGATTTTATGGATGGGAAACTAGGACACGCAGTGGAATATACTTTAATAAAGGCTAAATGCATTTTATTTTACTGTATTTAGAAGTGTTGTTAATTTATATCTGTAGATTTTCCTAATCTGTATTATCATTAAACATAGTGCGGATAAACTAGATTATCAACTTGCAGGTTTCTTGAATTTCCGAAAAAATTGAAATGGTGGTGAGTAGGTCGTCTACTTCAACTTACCTGTGGTCCAACTTACCATTCTGGAGTTAGCAGGACAAAATGCTAGGACTAGGGGTATATGAGTGGGGCTACATAAGCTACTTTTGCCAGATTTTGCTTGAGAATATATCCAGTAAAAAATAATGTTGAATTATTTGGGAAATTTGCTATAGTACTGGGTAGACACCGGCTCCTTATAATCCGCTGGCTATGCGAATCCTGGTGCATGTATCAATGAAGCCAGGTTGGGCTGTGGCGCGCGCAGACGTGTTCGCCGGTACTGTCAGCCACCGCGCCTATCCCACCCCAGACGACCAATCAAATAGGTGGTGGATTGATGCTGGCGGTGGGGGAGAGCGCAAGGTCGACCCTCAGCGCATTTCTTTCCTCATTTTAATCAATCTGATGTTTTCGAAGGTATCACGGTGCCTTAGAGGCGTTGGTTTCGGGGACTGCGAACTGACGGGATAACTCGGACCGCACAGTCAGTCCAATGTGTGTCTTGTTATGTGGAGTGACTAACTGGCGGATTGTGTCAGGCTTCATTGATTTCTTTTTCATTTGGTCTTTATGGCGCTCCCGCGTACGTGGGCACCTATCTAGCAAGGGATGTGTTGTTTTGGCGCGCACTGGAGCGGCGGCCGCACCAGCCAACTGCACCCTTTCCCATCTTCGGTATTCTTGACTTTGTGTTGAGATCGAGTGCAGGTGTAAGAGTGGGGAGAGAGGGGTAAATTATAATCTTTATAATCCAGATATAGTCGAAAACGAGTGTCTAGCTGTCGACCAACAAAATAATAGAAGTGCACACCACATTCGAAGGACCATACGGGTCCGTTGCAAGCGAAAATATATTTACCTCAACGACTGAAGAAACTCCGGGACAATGAAATGACGTACCCAGCATTCAGCAATTACTTGCTTTCCAATCGCAGTGTTTCCTAAGCGTTCTTTCTGTCACACATCATTCACGTTTCGCGTTTAGACCTCCGTTTTTAAAACACGCCTTTTTCACTTTTATTTGAAGGGATTACAATTTTTGCAAACTACATCAAACAGATTGCATGAAACCCCATTAAAAAAGTCTTATTATTATTTAGTTGATTGTCATTGTTGTGCATAGCGTTTTATTTTGTAAGGCTTGGAAGTGTGCCAGACGGCTGATGTACATATATGCACAAGCACTTCAAAACGTTTTTCCCTTGACAAGTGAGCTTTGCTATGGCGGTCTATGCAACAGGTTCCAAATTCACATAAAACCTCACGTTCAAAATAAAGCAATACAGATAAATATTTATGTCAGCGTCATTTCACCACTTTTCACAAACCAATCATTACTCGTTAAGTAATGATATATAAATGCATTAAAAACGGATAAAATCCTTCTGAAAAAAAAACTAAACTGGACAACACACAAATATGGTGTCTCCCTCTCCTTAGAATACCGCTGAACCCAACCCCAGTTTTAACCTAAACCCTTCTGAACTGAACAGTCGTTTTCACTGTAGCTTATCCGTTAAGAACAGTGACAATGTTGAAAAAGAATGCACGTAACATGCTCCACCTGAAATTTAACACTCGCCCGTTTGCCCCAGCTAACGTTTGAGTGCGTAACTAAGCCCTTAAGATAAATGAGCATCCGGTATGGCGCGGGAATAGAAAGCGTTCTATAGGACTGGGGCAAATTCTCAGAGAGGAGAAATATACACGTGCCTTAACGCCAACCCCAGCAACAGTTCGACCGTCGCTCTCGACAATGTCCACCGCGAGCTACAGCATGCTGGAGTCAGACATGGCGACTATAGCTGGATTATAGGGAACGTAGATTCGCAGGATGTCACCCGCTCGCTCACCACTCCCACATCTGTATCCGATGTCAAGAAAAGACTCGAGCTGGGGGAGGGCGCAGGTGGCTGGTGCGGCCGCCACTCCCATAGGTAGGCTCTAACGTACGCAAAACGTGCAATGCGTCAGCCACCCACTTCACACAACAAGCCGCGCACGGAGGTGAATGCGGCGTCCGAGTTAGTCAGTCAGTTGGCAACCCTCCAAACCACGGTGTTTAGCACACCGGGATAGCTTCGAGCG